AACTGTATTCCTGTTTTCAACAATCATCACATATATATATATATATATATATATATATTTGTTTTCCTCTTTTTTTATATTCTTTTATTCAATTACTTAACATTAGCAGGTGTCAATTAATACTAAACCCTGTACTGTTTATGCATGAAATTAAAAGAATATATTAACATTTTTTCTGCAAATAGCAGACAAAACGATTTATTCAAATAAGAATAATGTTCCAAATAAAAAAAAAAAAATGTCACTTTCTGCCTTATTGAATTTTCATTTTTAAAAGATTTTCTTTTCAAGTTATGCAATTGTTGGACAACAATCATTTAAAAACAAAAAATTACCATAAAAAGAAACCTAAGTAACCAAAATTACAAGAAAAATAATTGTTTTGGCTCTTGACAGGAATAAACAGCTATTTAACATCTTAAATATAAGTTATTATTATGATTTGTAAATTTACTTTTCAAATGATAAGTTTTCTTTCATTATTTTTTGCTATTTGTAAGTTGTATTCCATATAAATTTTGTCATTTGAGTAAAAGTGGATGTTAAATGATTTCTGCACCCACTATGTCTAACTTTTCTTGTTTCATTCACAAAAAACTTCAAAATTACAGTTTTTTCATTTTTTTCTTACTGCAAAAAAACATCTACATTTTTACACTGGTAATGTAACTTATGCCAAATAATGACACTTTGCAATTGAAATATTCTATGTGGTAGAGATGTATCATTTAAAATAACCTTAGGTCTGATTCATATATAAACAAACTATATCAGTGTGTAGAGATATATCATTCATTTTTACAGAAACACCAATACTCTATAACTTATTGATAACAGATGATTTCCCTAAGAACCTAGCTTTTATTAATGAGATCATTAACATAATTAAAAAATAAAAATTAGCTTTTAAATAATCCACTTTTACTCAAATGACAAAATTTATATGGAATACAACTTGCAAATAGCAAAAAATAATGAAAGAAAACTTATCATTTGAAAAGTAAATTTACAAATCATAATAATAACTTATATTTAAGATGTTAAATAGCTGTTTATTCCTGTCAAGAGCCAAAACAATTATTTTTCTTGTAATTTTGGTTACTTAGGTTTCTTTTTATGGTAATTTTTTGTTTTTAAATGATTGTTGTCCAACAATTGCATAACTTGAAATGAAAATTCAATAAGGCAGAAAGTGACATTTTTTTTTTTTTTTTTTTTATTTGGAACATTATTCTTATTTGAATAAATCGTTTTGTCTGCTATTTGCTATTTTGAAAAATCAAAAGTAATGAATTAATATTTCTTCTTTCCTCAAAACAATTAATTCATTACTTTTGATTTTTATATAATAGAAATATATTTGTATTGCAAATGAAACAATGTTATTTAATGACAAAGGAGTAAGGCTATCCACTGTCTTGATTAAAATATATCTAACAATTGTTTTTATGTAATTTATAGAATTCATTTTGTAGTTTGCCCTATAAAACTCAAACCTCATGATATGAAATCAAGCTAATTTATTTTTTTTTATATGCATATGAAAATAAAATGCTTACAGGAAATCAATATGATTAACAAATAAGTGTCATTGATTTTATCAATAAAAGCATAAGCATCAAAATATTAACAAAATCAATCACATTTCTTTGTTAATCTAATATTGATTACTGATAATCGTGCTTTTTCAGAGTTACATTCATCTGATACATTGAAAATTACTAGATCATTTTATATAAATGTAGTGTAAAGCAGTTATCAGTTTGTCTAATTCTTATAATAAATTCAAAGACACAAGACCAGATTTAAAATTTATATTAAATTATATTCAAAACTTTATTCTTGTTTTCGACATATTATTCAGAGCAACAATAAAAATAGTTATGTACACACGCACACACATTACTAGTTATGTGATTAATATTCACACTGAATTAAATAGGACATATACATATATGTGTGTGTATGTATATATCAGTTTGCAGACTAATGAAAAAAATCATTTATTTTTCACAATATTTTTCTTGTCAATAGATTTAATTCAGTATGAATACTGATCTCATAATTGATTATATTCAATCTAATAACTATAGATATATATTTATTAATCTACTTCTCTCTCTCTCTCTATATATATATATATATATATATATATATATATATATATATATGCAAAACACATGCCTACAAGTATTCAGAATATTTGCATGTGGAAGTTGTTAATTGATGTTTTCATAATATTTTCAAAAGCCTTAAAAATATACATGCTCTCAGGTGCCTTGTATAAGGAGTGGGATCTTAATAATTGGAGGGGTCAGAATTTTTCTTTTATATAATAAACAGGAATTACTTAATAAAAGTCGGAATCAAAATTCGTGCAAAGGCTCAAAAAGTGAAATTAATAAACAGGATGGTCTTAATAAGCTTGTAAGAGTTGGGAAATCTTCCCCCCAAATAAAATAAACATATCCCACTTGTGTTAGACAACTGAAAGTAACGTTTCATTTCATAAAAGGAATAAAAATAACTGTCAAGTGAAATCCCCTAAGCTGATTGCAGTGAAATCACAAAATTATTCCAATGGCTATTATAACACCCCCTACACTTTCACCCCTCCCCCCAAAAAAGAAATAGATCCTGTAGACTGATAATGAAATGGTAGCCAATGATAAAGATCAATATTTCTCTCTCTTATAACAAATGAAACAAGTGAGTCAGTCAGATGTGCATTAGTTTTTTTTGTCAAGCTTTAAGTAATTGCATAGGCTTGTTATTGTTATTCCTTATTCAGGCTAATGTACTCGTCTCTTTCAGGTGTTGCGAATGTTGAGACACAAAAGTCAAAACTAGCAAAGATTTGTGTGTTAAAATATGAAGGACAGCTATCAAAAGTATTAGTTCAATGATAGTTTAAAGTGAAAAATGATACACTTTCAAAATATATCTAAACTTTCAAACTTCCCTTTATAAGTTTTTATTTCTTAAAGTATTTCTGGTTATCGAAATTATCTGAATAACTAATGTGTTGTCTTATAAAGAATACCGGTCTCTCTTATGCATCAAATATTTGCTTTACCTAAAATTCACTTGTATAGATATTGTTTTAGGCAGCAAAATCTCTAATGAGATACCAATTCAAACAAAGTGTTACATAAAAAAAAAAAAAAAATTCACTTTGCATTAATATTTCATTCATTTGGGATTTTACAAAACTATTCCCCACAAAAAACAAAAATAAAGTGCTTATAAGACGCACTGTTGTTTAGATTTATAAGTTTAAAAAAATCTTATTTATTCATCAGTTAGTTATTTTCCATGTATGATAGATGCTTAAGCAATCATGTATCTTTTGATACATGACTAATGAGGCAGATTTTTTTCCTGCAGTAGACCAGTTGCCATCCAAAGCTATAGAAACCGGTCTGTCCTAGATGGGGGAAGAAATAGTGGATTCATAATTTTCTCAAGAGTATTAGCACGTAAATGAATTTAATGGATTTAACTGGAATTTGAACTTGGTTCTCTGATTCCTCAATCTGAGCCACTATCCATTACTCCACCATGCCTTCTATACATATAGATCAATAACAATGTCATTAATATCATCATTTTGGAAAAAAAAAAACTTTTCTTTCTTTAAATGTACTCTGAACTGAATAAATTTGCTAATGTACTCAGAACTTGATTTTAGTATGCGACAAAATTATTAATCCTTCTATACTTTTGAGAAGTCCTTGTCATTCTAAGTTAGTTATTTAGACTAATGAATTTATTATTTTTGCTACTACACTGTTTAGACCAATCCTTTGTTCAGCCTTCTTCAGGTGCCCAACATGGAATGAATGAAGTGTAGACTGAATTGGTTAATGCACTGCAGTAACATTAAAAGTAACAGAATAATGAGTTCAATCTTGAACAATTTTCCTAACTGTTGTCATTACTAATAAGATTTATAAAACTTTTGTCAACTTTTTGATTAGGTCTAAATTATAGTGTTCTTTATAAAACAAAATCTGCAATTTTTCTTTTTTTTTTTTTTTTTAAGGAAAATTGGTAAAATCTTACAAATATTCAATTTTTTTTTTTTTTTTATTACAAAATAAGCTAATTCACTTTAAAGAGATAAATAATTGAAGAGTTACTGATCACAAAACCAATAGAAATCAATTCAAAATTGTGTTTTGCAGTAATACATACAAGACCAAAATGTTACTTTCTTTTCAAAGTGCAATAATTTCAAGAATTCAGAGAATTTATTTGCCAGGTACACCAGAGAAACAAGTTAGGTCATTGTCAAGGGTTTTCTCAGATAATATGAAATTTAAACCAATACAACAATGTATTTAGTATAGCATTTCAGAAGATATATATATATATATATATATATAGTATTCTCTTTAAAATTTTTTTTTTTTTACAAGAGCTTTATAATGCACACAAAAATAACTTTTTTTTTTATTATTTATAGTAGTTTCACACTTAAGGCTATTTCTACACACACACACACACACACATATATAATATTTTATATGCGTAGTACTTATTGGAAAGTGATGAATATCAGTGATAGAGCTAACATATTCAGTTGTATGGATATGAGTTTGATGATCACAAAAATGTGAAACCCAGGATCACAAACAGTTTTGTCTGATGATCACAAAAGCGTGAAATCCAAGGTCACAAATATAAAATCTATCAATCTGACATATTTTTTATCACTTTAAACATTGTTTTTAGTGGATAATCATATTTGAATAGATGCTCCGTTTAATAAATAAACAGTGTATTTATTTAATTTCATCTACTGCCCTGAATATTCAAGAATATTTCGAGATGATGAAAATAAATATAGAATGTTTAATAAATAAATGGAGCAATTATACAAATATGAGCATCCACTAAAAATGTTTGTGATTATATAATTTCTAAAATCCTTGTCTTGCCATCAAGGAATAATTTAAACAAAGTGAAAATTCAAAAGATGGATTATTTGGACTTACTTTGTTAATCTTTGGTCTTGATATTGACTGCAATAAAGAAACAAAAATAGTTTTATTAATATATTTCACATTTTAAACATTGTATAAAAAAGAAAATGAATGTTGAACAACTTTGCCATTGAAGAGAACTAAGAGATATCATAACAATTTCAAAAATAGACAAGGCATTTTAATCATTAATTCTTTCTTTCTTATGTAAAAACTTGCATTATTTTTAAATAATCTTAAAAAAAATAAATTTACTACTTAAATATTTTGTGATTTTATGGTTAATTTACTCAAAACAGAAAATATTTGAGGATTTACCATAATATGTACAAAATATTTTTTAATATCTCATTCTATATCATTCTCTTAATTTTGTGGTCTCCACATTTAGATGCAATTTGCAAAGATCAGCTTACATTCAAGTTTACTTATTTTCTACGGTTTTGTTTACTCAAAATATTTTTTTAAATAATTGTTTCTTTTAAAAAAAGAGCAAATTTTTTGTGCATCCATATGGAGTTTTATTTCCAACCAGCCCAGAGTTTACCAGAAAAGTCTATTAAGGAGATATCCAAAAATGACATAACAGAATGTGCCTCTTTTCTGTTAATTCCAAAAATATATACTGCTAGTTTGGCAATTAATAAATAATGTGTAAGAAAAAAAAAATTTATTCTTAAACTATGGCAGCCTATTTCTTTATAACATCTGATGGAGGAGACTGTTGTACAACTGCAATTTGAGAAGCAGATTTCTTTTCATTCATGAAATCTTTTATTTTTAAGAATTGAAGACATTTGGTTACTCCACAATAAATACCCAACACATTGGTTGTCCACAAATGAAAGGATGACTTAAATGATAATAAAAACAACTGCCACCTGTTTGTCAAACCGGCTTCATTTTGATCAAACACTAAGCCATTAACTTCGGCAGAAACTGTCATGCAAAGTTGAGCCTGAGAATTGCAATGACAGAAATTCCAGTCCTCTTCCATTAAAGGATCAAAATTGAGAAACACTTAAGCAAGAATTAAGATAAAACTAAAGAAAATAATCTGCACAGAAATAATTTCAAGATTTAAAAAAAAAAATCATGTTAGTCATTTTCAAATATATTTCTTTTCACAAACAAACTTATGAAACAATTTTATCATTCTGTGAAATAATCTAACTGTATATAGGCACATAAATACAAATCAAAATGTATTTATCTTCATATTAATTTTTTTTTTTAAATATTAAATTGAAATCAATAGTTTGGAAATAAAGAGACTATAATTTTGTTTAAATGAATTTATTTCTAATCTCACATGATTTCTAATTGTTATAAACATTATTTTTTAGAGGGCACACATTAGTATGTTTGGCTTAATTGGTAGAGCATACCAGCTAAAGAAGTGGAAAAAAGGTAATATGGGTTCAATTCCTGTTGGGGAAGCATATTTTTTGTTAGTAATGACTTCTTGATTTTCTAGGCCAGTTGACACTAATTTCACTATCAAACACATGTGACCACTAAAAATAACATTTACAGTAAAACAACAACATAGAAGTAACATAGAAAGTGTAAAAATTAGAAAAGTGACTCTGCCGAAAATAGATAATAATTCTAAAATCCTAACTAAGAGAAACTGAAGATTAAGCGAAATGTTTATTGCAACACTGTAAAACTGATGTTTTTGTTAAGTTTTATATAAATTTCCAAAATATATCTGGCCAAATACTAAATGCAACCAATTCGTTTTCTATAAACATCTATGCTGTATATGTATGGTAAATAATAAATAAATATGAATATTCAGAATAAGTCAATCTAAAAAGGACTAAATATTTAATATGAGAACATTATCTTCTTTACCAAGAAATTATACACATGGTGAGAGGAAAGTATTTTTACAGACATGTAGCAGGGAATATTTCAAAGATTTATTCTGATTATAAATATCACAAGTGAGTGACAAGAAAATGATTATTTATCATTGAATAGAATTCTAAAATGAATCTGGATTTTTCGATTACTCTTAATATTCTCAAACATTCAGTCAGTTGTCCTTATTTTCTTATGCAATGAAAATAACTGAAGAAATCGGAAAGACATGATTGTTGATTAAAAGAATAAGACATGTTTTAGAATTCTTGATCAGTCAGAATAAACAAAACAAAATAAGTTTTAATGAATTTTACAATAAAAATTCTCTCTTTTTAAATATTTTTGCATTCACAATAAATTTGGTTATTTACTTTGTCTTACACCATTTGATTTCTTATTTAACATCTTTGAAAGATTTCAGGTTATATAAACTTACATTTATATTAAGAAAGAAACAAACGAATGTTCAATTTGTCTAAATTACTCAATTATAAAATCCACTGCAAACAAGATTAAATATAAGCAACTGATTGCATTAATTTTAAAATGTATTATTATTTTTTTTTTTAACTTCTCCCATAAACATAAAAAGAAAAAAAAATATCAAAACATGAAAACCTATTAAAAAACAAAATGAAATTTTGTAAGATTTTTTTTTTTTTTAATTTGGCTTAGATGTTTTCCTATTCTTAAATCTATTCTTGGAAGAAAAGAGGAACTTCAGTCCCACCTCTAAATATATTGTGAAATAATGTCTGACAAATTTCAGATGAGATTTTTTTTAAAAAAATAAAGTTGACACTGGTAATCTGATATATTTAATAAAAAGACAATTTTTTTTTTCTTGTAAATATAAGTCATTAGACTTTCAAGCTAAATCTTAAAATGCAAAAGAAAGTTTATATTAAAATAAAACAAATTAGCATTGGTTTGTGTTTTTAATGTAACTAACAATTTATTTTAAGCCAAACTGCATTTTATAGAATTTTTTTTCACTGAAAAAAATAAAAAATGAAGATTTGTGAAAAATTCTTTTCAAGACAAGAAATATTCCCAATATTTTGAAAAAAAATTCCTTCTACATTAATTCAAATAAACATAAATGCTGAAAATTAGGTTCATCCAATTACAAGTTAACTTTCAAAACTTAATTCAATGATTTATTAATTTTATACATTAACATTTTTAAATCAAATTCTGCAAAATATTATCAGTATCATATATAAAGATATGATGCAGTTAAAAAAAAATCAAAACTAATATTTATGTATTTTAATATATAGTGGCTATGTAAAATTAATATATTTTTCAAGTTGTCTGAGTAACAACAAAATTTCAATTAAGGATTAGTACAATGCAATATACACATAATTTTAAATCTATATTCTTTCTTGATATAAATATTTGGCAAATGGTTTTGGCTGTCACTACTGGCATAAATTCTGAGCTTCAGTTTTCCAACAAAAGACCATTTTGGACACGAGCAGAATGAATATGTCTAAAGAATGAATTAAACAAATAAAATTCAAAGCTGAAACCCGATATGTACTTCAAGAAATAAGGAAAACTCAATATTTTTTTTTAATGACATACATGAAAATTTAATTTTTAATAAAGTTAAATTGTTGCAAAATTTTCTTTGGAAATATCATTCCAAGCTGCTTATAAATTGAAAATATGCATGCTTATATTATGACTTTATGAAAAAAAAAAATTAAGATAATCCTTGCTTTAAAAAAACCTGATGACTTCAATTTTAAAAGAGATTATTACAGTTACCACGCAATCTGTAAGCATAAGGCTTAAAAATGGACCACAAAATGCAGATATTTTTCATTCATTTATGATAAGTCAAATATTTTTCATTCATTTATGATAAGTCAAATATAATTCCATTTTGAAATGAAATTTATGAGAAATAAAACTACATATAGTGTTTTTTTCTGAACCCAGGCTTCAGAATAGGAATCTATAAAATAAATTGTCTAGGCTTTCAATGAAGAAAATGAAAGTGATTTTACAAACTGTTTGTAAATAAAATTGACTTTAAAAATTGATTTATTTATATATATTATTTTGCTTGTCTGTCAATGACATTTTAATGACAACTATTCTCAATGAATCTTTTGTGTTCTGAAATTGTTCAATGATTATATATACATACATGAAATCTACGTTGTTATACATTTTTATACAGCGATATTTCTGACAAAGTATTCGCATAGATGATACGTTTTATGTTGAGTATCTATGGAATGAAAGGCATATATGTTAGTTATTTTTACCACATGTTACTGTCGTTGTTGCCTTCATTATTATTAAGAATTTTCTTTGGCCAGAATTCATTGATTGTGAACTGCAAAAGCAGATTTCAAACAATTACAGTTAAGTCAACCATGTGTAAAGTTCAGTAGATCTAAACTTTGGGTGAACAAATCCTTAAAAGTGAAATTATCACTACCAAGTGTAGTTGTGCATATTTGTGTTATGGTGACAAGCAGAGTGAGAAAATGATTTTAAATAGAAATTATATCAGCTGAGAAAAGGATTAAAATAAGGTTTGGCCTGAAGAAATGAAATATATAAACATTCTATAGATAAAGACCAGAGTTAGTTTGTCTTTTCACTTCATGTTAGGTCATTTAAATACCATGTTAAATATAGACTAAATCTACTATTTTAAACATAGTAGTTAAAAATCTTGAGAAAAAAATGATTAAAAATCGAATGTATGGATATACACATTGATGATTATACACAAGACAGATGAGATATATAATCATTTATTCAAAAATTATAACATAAACATGTTATAACATTACTACAAAAAAAAAGGTTTTATTTTTTTTTTAGTGATGTTATAACATGTTTATGTTATTTTTGAATAAATAATATTTGCTCTACTCTGTATTGAGCACTCTTTTAAGAATAGTGTTTTTGGTTATTGGAATTTTATTCCGTCTACACTAATCCTATATATCTCAAATAACTATAACGGTATTTATGTATGTCAACATGGATTTGTATATATTTACCTTTGCTTTCAGTACATTATACATGCAAAAAGATATGCCTGTTTACATTTGTATAGACACTGTTATATGAATTAACATGTAATTTTCAACAACCCTATCTTGATATTAATCCCTATTGAACAGACCATGAAG